TCTCTCTCTCTCTCACACTTTCCACTTTTATATTTTGAATTTTGGGATTTTTTGGATATCAATATTTGATTTTAGCTGTTGTTTTATATCAATATCATTGTTATATTACTTCAAGGATATACGGATCAATAATCACCATTCACAAAACAAAAAACAAAAATTAAAAAAAAAAATTTTTTTTTTCCTTGTGACATTTGTATATTTTTCAATTTTCATATTTCATATGAATACTTTAGGTATCGAAAGGATATATACAAAAAAAAATTCGATAGAACAGGAAATAAATACAATATAAAGTCAAAAAAATTTTTTAGAGTAAATTTCAAATTCGGTAATACTTTTAATATGCATAGCAATATACTCGTACTCGTATTATTTAAAAAGAGAATAAAAATTGCTATGGGAAAAACGAAATATACAAATTAATTTTTAAAATATTGGTAAAAATATCTGATTTTACGTACAGAAGGTACTTACATAATCAGCATATTACGTACAGCAATTGAATATGCCTATAGTTTTTGAAGTTTTTTATTATACAAAGTCCCTGAACGTATTAATAAAAGGAAAGGAGAAATATTATGAATCAATGTGTTGTGCAAGAACGTAATATTTAAATATGAATGAACAGACCTTTTTAGTAAACATATAGTTCTCTATATATAACATATAGACCGATATAATATAAAATTTCCTGCAAAAACTATTATGAAACAATTATACTTCTGAATTAAAATTCTACAAAGTATTCAAATAAAATCTTTCATCTGCCACAGGAAATAAGTATTATTTTTAGAAAATTATTAATATCGGGAACAGAATTTATAAAATCAAAACGTATTAATTGAGTTCTGAAATTTTGGAAAAAAAAAAAAAATTATTTGAAAATATAAACTCCCTTTTATGTTTATGGGTCAGTCTATCAAATCTCAGTCTATGAAAATTTACGGCTTAGTCTTCAATGGTTATCACATTCAATTTTTGAGTTTGAGTTTTGGACACCATAGCTTCCGAATTTTGGTTATTTATATTTAAGTGCATTTAAAATAAAATCATCAATTTAAATGTTTTTTTTGGATTCTTGTCGAATTAAAAACAAAATATTTTTAAACGGCTCCTTATAACCCCTTATTAACCCCTTATAACCCCTAAAATAGTCAATTTTTTAAAATGTTTTCTTAACTCAATTACACATATTCAATTGGGTATAATAATCATTAATATTCATATGAGTGTAATGCTAATAAGTTTTATATATATATATATATTTCAGGCAATAACATGTAAGTATATAAAGCATGCCTTAAACTTCACTTCACTATATACTAAAATAAATAAGTTTTCTTTGTTAATATATAATTGTGTATATTGAATGTATAATTGTAATATTGTATGTTCAATTATTTTGTTATATTAACTGAAAAATTATATTATATTTAAAAATTGTATTATATATAGGTACGATAATTATTTAAAAATTAAATTTTTAAGAGTAAAACTCTGTTACACATATGAATGTATATAAAAGTATAGTTTTTTTTAAATTATTAGAGTATATACATAAATATAGATATAATATAATATTATTTTTGTTGTTTGTCTGTGTGCATCAGATATAATATAGAAGATGAAGGTATATATATATATATATTTAAATTATATTTAATGTATATTTATATTTGTATGTATACATTTATTAATATGAAATCATGTTTAATATTTTAATTTTAACGCTATTTTATTTCAAACGAAAAATAAATAAGTATATTTATATATATATATATATTTAATTTTATAATAATATAATATTTTTTTTCAAAAACTATTTGCATTTTTTCTTGAGCAAATCTATAATGTATATTTGTAGTATATTAAAAATTATAAAGCAGAAAGAATAATAATTTTCTACAAAAGCTACTCCTATATGTTTGTGATTCAAGTGGTTTGAATGTTGTATGAATGTATAATTAAATTAATAAATAGTTAATAAAGTATAAAACATTTATTAATTATGTACATAAATATATGTGAACTAATATATAAATTCATTGACTTCTGTTTTCAATATTAGTATGAGTGATGTTTAATTGTTGTCTAAGAAATTTTGATTAATTGAGCTACAATTTGTATTCCTTTTTAAATTAAATATGTAAGTTATTTGATACTTAAATACTTGTATATAAGTGAAAGCTAAAAAGCATATTAGTGTTACATAATTATTTAAATTAAAAGTATTATTATTCAGTAATATTCTCACATTTAGAAATACTATGAATGTACAGTATCAAATCTTAAAGATAGTTTAAAATAATAGTGCATAATATTAAAGTGAATGCATTACGGTTACAAATTACTGTCCTTTATATAATAAAAAATATTAACAGAAAAAATATTTCGGTTTCTAATACTATATTAAATAGCGTCAACACGCTTATTAAATTCGAATGTACTCGTATAAGATGACTGTTTAAAAGACCATTAAAGAACATTAGTTATAATGTTCTAGTCTCTTTAGATTTTAGTTGTACTCAATTATTAAAAGTAAATCTGGAAAATCTCTTTTAAATTGTAAAAAGAGCAAAATGTTAAGAGAAAATTTCATAATTGAAAAATTTGCTCAATAATATTTGAATAGCAGTGCTACTATTTTATCGTTTGAGTGAATTATGAATATCTCTAAAAGAAAAATAAACAAGAGAATTTTAATTTATTTAAAATTTTATTATTGGAGCAACCAATTGAATTTGTATAAAGCTCTCACTTGATAAAAAGAAATTATCTACTGCTTATAGGTTTTTTTAATAATACAAAAAATTAAACAAAAATTACGTGGCATTCCTTTATTATTTTCTTTGAAATATTTTCTTAAATAATAAATAAAAGTGAATTCTATAATGTGTTGCCTATAGTGTAACTGTTCTATGTAAAATATTTCACGGTGTCACAAAAATATAACAGTATTTTTGTTTTTCTGTGAACTTACTCATATTTTTCATTTTATGTTTTTTTATCGATTAAGTAGTTAAAAGTAGTTGGTAATGACGTGACAGTAGTATAAAATATTATATATATATATATATAGTTACAATGTAATCGTGTTTCTTATTTTTGACATTTATATATTTTGACGTTTATTCTGATATTTTTTTTTTTTTTAATTTTTATTTTGATATTGAGTAAAGGTGGTGGTTCGGTTTTATTTGATGATGTTTCTTTTCTGATTTTATATATAGTAGGGTTAAAAATCAATGATGGATTTACAAAAAAAAAAAAATATATATATATATATATATTTATTGTTTTAAAATTTGAGTTGTTTATATATATACATATATAAATATTTATATATATAAAAAAATATTTTTTAATATTAGAGTTCAAATTTCTTAGTATTTTGTATATTTAAATTAACAAAAAAAAAAAAAAAAAAAAATAAATTAATATTAAGTTTTAAATTTGAATATAGAAGCGATAAATAAAAATAATAAAATGTTTTCACCTTTTTTTTTTCAATTTTTAATATTTCTTTTTGTTTAATATTTTGAATAATTAAAAACAAAAAATGAGAAAATAACTAAAAAGTATTCGTGCGATGTTAAAAGTAAAGTAAAATAAAAAAAAAATTTTTTTTTTTATATGAATTAATAAAAAAAAATGATTTTGATTAAAGAGTATATAACAATAATATTGTTCAATAGTTTTAAAAATTTCAAATGACCTTTAAAATATAGAATGGCAACTTAGTAAATCTATATTCCGTTTCGATGCCATTCAATATATAATGAAAATATAGGAATATTTTAAATAAAATTTGAGATTTAGTTAAAATTAAATTCTTGTGTTTTGAACAATTTCCAGAAAATAAAATTGAATATTGGAAAATTATTGAGAATTTTTATATTCTTAATTGTTTTGAAATGAACTAGTTTCAAGAATATATCTTATAGTCCTATATGACTAGTGGCGAGATAGCAATCGATGTAATGAAAAACATTGATCTAAATTATCGATCAAATCTCGATCCAAATTTTAAACAAACGAATTAATTGATTTTTAAGATATTTATTATATATATATAAATATATATAACTATTATATATATATATAAATATATTTTTATGATTCTTAGAAATTTTCATATGATAAGTTCAATGATATTACAATTTAGCAAATTATATAAATAAAATGTAAATAATTAATTAAAAAAAAATAAAATTAGATTTTGAAAACTTTATAAGTATACCGCCATTTTTATATTAATATTTCAATTCAATTTGTATTCAATATTAACAAGTCTAGTTAATGGAATTATAGGAAATCGGAAAATTTGTATTCCACATTAATAATCGAAGTTAATGGAATTAATTCTCAAAATTGCGTATAATTTTTAAATAAAAATTTTTCATAATTTTATCGGATCTACTCTTTAATCAATTGGTTTTATGTATATTGAATTTAAAAAATAAATAAATAATATATATTTTTATTTTTGTTTATAAAATTATGATGAAAATATTATGCAAAAGAGTAAAAATGTCATAAAATTTTTTCTGTTTTTTTATTTATCCCTCTTTTTTTTTTTCAAAAAGAAATAAATAAATTTTGATTTAATTTTTATATAAAATTAAAAATATTATTTCTGTTAAAATAATGAAGTAATTTTAAAAATAAATACAATTTTTCTATATTGTTTTAACAAAATTAATTACGCTGTTTACAGACGTTTTATTATTGTAAATGTTACGTTAATTATCAAAAATAAATTTGGCGCGAAAATGATGGTAAAATATTTAACTTGTATAATAAAAATTTTTATTTAAAAAAATTACTTCAATATTTTTTTTTTTTTTTGAAAATAAAATGTTTTTAATGTCGATTAATATAGTTTTCTTTTATAATTTGAAAAATTGAAATTTTGAAAAATTGATTTTTTTTTTGTTGTATAATATAATTTTTAGAAAAGAAAAATAATACAAGTGTATAAAAAAATAAACTCTTACCTGTCGCTAATGTATAGTCCCAACTAGTATCTGTATCATTTTTGTATACATTCAATTTTTCGGGCTGAAATTTGAAAAAAAAAAACAAGATTAAAATACTAAATAATACACAATATAACATTGTAAATGGAAAATTATTTTGAATAAAATTTTCGATGCCTAGTTAGGATTCCGTGCTCTGATATTTTCAAAAATTACAATACAATTTCATATGTTTAAATTCCCAGAATTCAAATTTTAAATTTCATGGAAATCAGCCAGTTATTCCTCTCCATAAGCGCAAAAATGTAAATTTGGCCCGTAATAATCGTTCAGTTGTTGGCACCAGATTTCTTCCACTAGATAGAAAAGCTAGATAGTTTCTCGCACAATCAGACTGAGCTTATATATAAATTTTTAAATAAAATACACTTTTTTTTTTTTTAGATATAGTCAAAAAGGTGATGTCGACCCGTATTAAACATCTAGTTCCAGAGACCCAAAAGGTGATCAAACTGTTTCATCGTCGGTAAAAACTCAGATATATATTTTCGTGAAAATCGATTCAGCTGAACTTGAGATATTGATGTATGAACTGACTGACAAACAGACAAACAGAAAAACTAACCGACAGACATCTCTCTAAAAATAATCTACATAAGCTTCCCTATCATGAAGAAAAATATTTCCACCGAAAACTCGAAATGCTAAATTTGGTGCCATCTCATAACCTCCGTTATTGTATGCAATGCGAACTGTAAAAAATGTTCTACTATTGAGCTGTTTTATTCGACTTTATCGAATTTTCACAAAAAAGTAAATATAGATTACGGACATTACGAACAAGTGTAAATAGTTGATTAAAATCTGAATGATTTTTTCATATTAGTTTATAAAAAAACAAAATATTCTGAATGGGAAATAATATTTGTATAAAAAAAAATTGATTACAAAATATATTTTTTTAGTTTTTCAATTATATTTAATTCACTCACATACAATATGTATGTAAAAAGGAACATAAATACTCAGATCTAAAAATATAATATATATATACTCGTATACTCGTATATGTTAGAATTTATATATAGAAATATTTGTATTTGCAATATGTCTTCTTAAAACTAAAAAATTGGGGAGAGTGAACCAAAGAAATTAAAAGAGGTCCTTTAAACAACTACTGCTACTTCTCTCAATTAAATAATTTTATATTTTTTCAAGTGCTTTAAAAAGAAGATTGCAATTAACTATCAGTATATTATATGATTTTTTCCCCTGAATATTTTAATTAAAATTTATTCATATTCATTTTTATTTATTTTTGAAGGATGAGTACATATTTGAGTACATATTATATTCTTTACATGAAAAAAAAAGAAACAGAACAAAATCCATAACCAGGTAAAAATTTAAAAATATTATTTGTTTTTAGTTTGAAATGTTCATACATGTACTCGTATGTATAACAAAACGGGAGCTTCAACTTTGTATTAGTCATTTTTGTACTTAAAATATTTGATATATGCACTTGTAATATTAAGTAATAAATTTTTAGATAAATCAATTAATTTACCATAAATATAAAGATATGAAAATAGTTTTAGAAAATGTGTAAAGCAATATTTGAAATTTAGTGCCGCTCTGAGCAAACAATAAAAAAACCCTAAAATTTTTAGATTATTTCGAAAAAATTTCATATAGTTTTCATATTAGTTCTTGTTAATAAAGTCGACATCATACAATAATTCTCCATATCGAACTATTATATTTTGAATTAAATTAATTTGAGTATTCAAAAAATTGAAATATTGTGTTGGGATGTATTTTACTTCTTCATAAACCTTTAATAAGTTAACAGATTTGTTTTATTTTAATTGTTATATAAACCCTATAAGTTTAGTACTTAAATATACTTGTTTAACTCAATATAAATGTTTATTTGGAACAAAACTTCTATTAAGAAAAACATGTTCGAAATTATGTAACCACATATTCCACATTAAAATTCACATTTCAATTTCTATTGTTGTCACAAATGTATGTTGTCGCAATTATAAAATTATAATTAGTTAATTATAAAAAAAAAATAACTTGCTTTATTACCTAGTTTCACATAATTCTACAAAAATTCCATAAGGAAATATTTTACATACGTATTAAATAATTTCAGTGTAATTTGAAAAAGTTCACATTCATTTTATATATTGTTTTAAATTTGGTTTGTTTTTATTATTGCTTTGCAACAATTAATTTTAATATGTTTTGTTGTTCTAAAGCTATTTAAAATTTTTTATTAAAAATTGTTAAATCAGGCCATAATAAAATTATATACCTTTAACATGGTTTAAAATTCTATTTAATTTCTTCTGAATAAGATTATTTGCTAATTCGTATACTCAAGCGAATAAACAGGTTCCTCTTCGAAAAAAGTAAATTAAATAATTTTTAAAAAATTTTCAATTTTTTGACAAGGTCGTGCCCCCTGGTCGTGCAAAATTTTAAAAAATTTTAGAAATTTTTAATTTTTTGCATAGGTAGGGGTTCGTGCAAAATTTTAAATAATATAATTTTTTGCCCAGGTAGGGGGTCGCGCAAAATTTTAAAAAATTTTAGAAATTTTTGATTTTTTGCCTAGGTAAGGGGGTCGTGCAAAATTTTTAAAAATTTTCAATTTTTTGCCAAGGGGGCCGTGCAAAATTTTAAAAAATTTTAAATTTTTTGACAAGATAGGGGGTCGTGCAAAATTTTCAAAAATTTTCAATTTTTTGCCAAGGTAGGTGGTCGTGCAAAATTTTCAAAAATTTTCAATTTTTTGCCAAGGGGGCCGTGCAAAATTTTAAAAAATTTTAAATTTTTTGACAAGGTAGGGAGTTGTGCAAAATTCTAAAAAATTTTCAAAAAATTGCAATTTACAATCAAAACACGTTTTTTTTTTTACTTTAAAAACACGTTTGGTTCTAGGTAACAGCTTTATAATATAAAAAATATTTGTTACTTACTTTTGCATAATCAATTTTCAGTGTACAACATCCAGAATATATATCGGCACCATTTAAATTATCTCTAGCACGTGTTGCTGATTCCAAACTATCAAATTCGACCATTGCTTGTACACCATTTTTCTTAAATATAACAATACGCTGTACTTGACCATGTGGATGACATATTTTGTGTAGTACATCCTGTAAAAAAAATAAAAAAAAAATAATAAATATTAATTTCATGTATAGGAACAAAGGTTGTTGATAAAATTGTTTGTAACAGAATAAGGACCAATATTTTGTAATTAATTTCTTAACAAATTTTTTCTTATTATTCTTTTTGAAATTTCATACTCAATTTTTAAGCATTAATTTATTCTTAAAACCAAAATGAAGGTGTAAAATAAACAAATTATTCAAAAATTGATTCTCAGTTGAAAAAAATTTTGATACTGAAAAAAAATTGTTATACAAATTTTCTCTATTTAATGATTTTTATTTATTAATTACTCTACTTAATTTAATTATGAATAATTTTGTTCAATATAAAAATTATATAAAAAATTTTTAAGTCCTTGTATTTTTAATATTTACAAAAATATAAGCACCATATAGAGTATAAACTTATAAACAATTTTGCATTTGTATATGTGACACAAGTTTAATCTCTGTAAGTAAATAAAAAGAATTACTTGACATGATCCAATCAAACATTTCAAAAAAAAATTCAATCAAAAATATGAAATAAATAAATTGATAATAGTAATAATGTTTGCAAAGGAAAATATTTAAAATAATTTTAAGAGAAAAACGTGAATAATATTGAAAAAAATTAAATGAAAGGAAGAGATAAAATTAAAAATTAAAAATATTTTTATTTAATTTTAATTAAATGAATTTGTATTAATTTCATAGATTTTTATGAAAATAAAATATTTATTAAATTAAAAAAAAATGATTTTTTCCTTTACACTTAATTTACTATTTATTTTTTATGAATTTTTATTAAATCAGTTTTCTTTATCAGTCCTTTATGTTTTTTTTGTTTTTGAAGGATAATATTTTATTTTTTAATAATTGATTTAAAATGCTTTATTAAAAGTGGAAAATCATAACATAAAATCACATTTAATCACATATTATTTGTGAATTATCAAAATTTTTGAAGTTTTCATAAAAACAAGAAAGAAAAAGCAAAAATTAAATTTGATAGAATTTATTGAATATCCTTTTGACCTTTTATTACGCTTGTATTTTAATTACAAATAATTTTAAATTTTATATTCACGTTTTGGTATTTAGAAAACAAGAGCATGTGATTTTTAAATATTATTTAAATTGTTAAAAATTTACTTTGTAAGTAATGTTGGTTATTTGGCAAGATTTTTTAATTAAATTGAGTGAAGTATTTATAGATTTTAAACACAATTTTTAAATTTTTTTGATTAAAGTAATATGTGTGACATGTACTTTTAATTAAATAGGCATAATGACAATTTGAAAACTGAATTTTTCTGAATAACAAATCTTGTACATTATTCAGCTCATTAGAAAAATGAGCTCAGAAATTGAGCTAACTAATTATACCAATAAATCTCAATTACATTGGCTTAGATGGTCAATTTGTGATCTTATATTTGTTGACAACCTTGTTGTAATTGGATGTTGTTAATATGTTAAAACGGCACATTTGTGGTAATTGGAGTAGGGCTAGTGTGTTGCACTGACTATTGCTTCAATCAACCACCCAACTAATCTAGGCAAAATGGCATACTTATTCGTTATGATATCCCAATATTGACATTATTATATACATAATATTTAAATCAATATAATATTGAATAAAATCACTAAATTATGAGTTTACAAAATTTGTTTAAACAATGATAAAAAAATTTGAAGATGATTTTGTTTTCCCATCAACTATAAATTTCTAGGGGACACATTGAATAAAATCCCAAGTAATGAAATTATGTTGAAGAATTTTTAATCGTGTTATTGCAATATTTTTACTTTTTAATTTAATTTTGCAATTATTGAATTTTTTTTTTATAAAATTTAGCTTAAATGTCAAAATAAATTTATATTCTACACAAAAAATATTAAATTTTAATAATAAATTTAATAACTAAAATCCCCTAAAAGTATGCAAATTTATTTACATATAATAATTAAAAATGCGTGCGTTATACTAAAATCAGGTCAATATTTATAACGTTATAAGATTTAATTTTTAATTATATAAAATTCCAATTAAAATTATCTATACCACCGTATTAAAATATTAACCATATATAATTTTCAACGCAATCGATAAATTTTTTTTTGATTTTGTGAATAATTCACACTACTCTTACAAAATTTTTCCCACAAAAAATTAATATATGAGTATGGTAATATTAAAAACCATTCCTTTGATCTAAAAAAATTATTTTAATTTTATTATAAGAGATTTATTTAGTTGTTCATATAGCAAAAAAATACAAAATTATATTTAGGATTAATTCTTGTTGTTGAATGTCACAATTTAGTTAAAATCGATTTGCGATAATATTCATCATAATATGCGCAATTTAATATTTGGATACGCCTTTACATATACACATATATATATAATATATAACTCCACTTTTAATGAACTTTTATTTTTGGTATATATCAAAAATTTTAAAACTATATGTTGTTTTAATTATAATTTTAAATTTAGTTGTAAATTCTATTAAAAACCAACATATAGGTTATAATTAGTTAAAACAATTATGTTGTGAGTTTGGTAAGGTTTTATGCCTTCAAAAAGGATACAATTAATGGTTTTTAATCTATAAAACTGTTATACAGAATATTGTTTTTAATAATTTATTACTCATTTAAAATATTATTTTGTGGTAATTAGAAAATTATGCATGTAAAGCGAACATATTTTAAGATTTTTTCTTTCCATTTACAAGCAGGATAAAATTATAGTCTAAAATAATATACATTATTATTTAAATTATTCTCTGAGATTGTGAAATCTATCCCTATGAATTGAAAGTAAAATACAGTTTGAACAGAAATATAGTGAAATACAGTGAACTGAGTTCTATAACTGATTCCTGTGATACAAGGTCAATTTAAAAAATTTTGGTTTAGGGTTAATTTTTAAGATTTATTCAATAGATTTTTCGGTTTAAAATAATTTAAATTTTTTTCGAAATTTTCATTTTTCAACAAATTTTTTAATAAACTTTCAAAAATAAAATTGTATGACAGTCACATTACACAGTTTATGTACAGTCTACTTAAAGACTTAATTTAAATAATATTCTTCAGTTTTATGCTCGATCTTTAGTTAGTCTTTTCCATTAAATTTATAAAACTTTTTAATTATATATGAAAAATCTTAAGCCCAAGTTATGACAAAATGATAAATCTTTGAATATCCTTATGTAAGGATATAAAAGCTATTTAATTTTTCGATTCTCGAAAGCCTTTTTGCATAAATAATATCAGAACAATACAAATAAAGTTGGGTCAAACCAATGGTTTGTATTATAGCACTTTTCCCTTCAACAAGTGAAAATTCTGCTTTTAAATACAGTCTATGTATACCTATCACACTATTAAAATTATTTTCATTCATATACAAAACTATTTCTATAGGATTGCATATATGCAGTTCTTGAAATAAAGCAATAATTAATATAAAGTGGGGTTAACATAATGCTCGATTTTAAGGGTTAATTGTGTGAGTTAAGAAAAATAATTATATTTTTTATTGTCATGGAATTTACCGTTAACTTTTTGCGTTTATAGAAATTTGCTTGAAAAAAAGCTTGCGGTTTCGGAAATATAGGGTGTCAAAAATTCAAATTTTACAATTTTCAAGAGGCGATATCTTGAGAGGGGGTAGAGATGGAAAAAAATTTTCTTCTAACGAAATGAACTCCTTGTTAATGTCTAAAAGCCTTTAAAATTTGAAGCTTCTACATGCTGGGGTCTAGAAGAAAAACGACATCAAAAATTTGGAAAAAAAAGACTTTAGATAACTGAATATGTTTTTTTCAAAATAATCCAACTGATGAACGTTACTCCCAATTACACCGCGTAAAGGAAATGAAGTAGATAAATGCAAAAATAACTGAATCCAAACTCATAAAATGTGAATTTTCAATCAGATCAAAAAAAAAATTTTAAGTAAATTTTTCTGAAAATGAGAATATTGTAGATCTATACTGCTCTTGCACACATATGACAATATCTTTACAAATATAAAAAGTATAGAGAAACTGAGACCAAATATAAAACAGTTTCATTATAATTTTTATTAAGTTCATAAAGGATATTTGTATGAAAAAATAATTTCAAATTAAATTATTATGATCTATTTAAAAACTGAGAAAATTTAATAGCAATTAAAATTGTAAATATTCATTTTAAAAATATGATTTTCGGAAGGGCAAAGATTTATTTCAGACAATTTTCATTTTTCTTTTTCAATAAAATTTAATTTCAAATTTAGAAAACTTTTATAGTTTTCAGCTCCTCTTTTTTTTCTGTAGTCAACAGAATATTTTAAATATATGTTTTTTTTTTTGGAAACTTTATAAATACAAAATAATATGCACAAATATTCAAAGGAAAAATTATTTCTCGACAAATATTTATTTTGGAAATTTTTACTGGAACCATAGAGGAAGTTTCTGTTTTCTTTTTTTTTTTTTTTGTGTTCATAATAAGTTATAGAGAATTATTTATATTTTAACAAACAGAATTAAAAATTATCCAACTTTTAGTTTATCTTTTTATAGTTTTTTTTAATTTATACAAAAATATTTATTTTAAAATAAATAGAATTGCTTTCAATTTAAAAAAAAAAAAGTATTTTGATCCGATTTAGTTAGAATTTTAGTTTTTCTTTATTTGTAAGAGGATTATAGTTAAATTTTTTATACATATATGATTTTTATTTTAATCAATTAATAAAATGTGTTGAATTATCATAACTATGTATATGAAAATAATTTTAGATTTTATTTCTAGGAACTATTGGATCAAATTCTACAATAATTCTTTCATACGTATATGAAAAAAAAATATTAAAATTTAAAACTTATATTGTTTAAAATTGAAAATGTTGGGAATGTCGCTTTAATTGAAGGGTAAAACATAACCTATAACTTAGGAATTTCAAAGATATTAAAAGCATTTTTGGGGAATTG